ATAACATACCATAATAGACCCATTTCTGTAATATACTCACATATCTATATTATTGCTAATATATATTGTAATATATCTATATCACTAAAGCACTTCTGGATGGATGCAAACTGCATTTCGTTGCCCTGTACCTGTGCATGTGCAATGACAATAAAGTTGAATTCTATTCTAATTCTATTCTATTCTATTAATTGCATTAAAATTTTTAATCGCGTAAATTGTGATGATGGATTAATCCCCGTTAACATGGACAGCCCTAAAAAAAAAAATATATATATAATCACTTTAGTGCTACAGACATTAAATCTGTCTGATTTTTTGGAGCATTTTTGAAAGTCATGTCATTATTTAGTTACACTGTGTTTCAGCAGCTGAAGATGTTCTCACAGAGAAAAAGACATACTTAGCCAGCTTATTTTTTAACATCTCTGACAATAACCACACTAGAAACCCACAGACAAAAATGTATGAAGCTGACCACCCTCAGTTGAACATGTTGGAGCTGAAGGTTGTTTGCAGGTCATGGAGTATCATAATGAAAATGCTATTTGGCATTGCTATCATTATATTTATTTTTAACTGGTGGTCATATGCTCAGCCACTTGACAGCTCAAGCAGAGTGTTTGCATGTGAGTGAAATATTTAAAATGAACAAACTGTTTTAAATTTGGTACCTTATTTTTTTTATCATTGTATTTCATAAATGAACAAAACTTATTACAGTACCGCCATAAGGCACACCGGAATATAAGGCACACTGTCGATGAACAGGTCTGTTTTCATACATAAGGCGCACCGGATTATAAGGTGCATTAAGCAAAACAAAATCAGATAAATCAAACTTTACTCAACTCATCCTTCTTGCTTCCTCCACTTCTGTACCATTGTTTCATTAATGTTGAATTCTCTTGCAGCTGCTCTATTCCCATGTTGTTGCAGTATATTAATAACTAACCTTGTATTGTGGATGCATTATCTCAGTTGTTCTCCTGACTAAAGTTTGGTCCGTTTACAGCATCCTGCTATGTGATTGCATTTGCCCATAACCACGGGGAACCCTCACGTTCAGTTTTATCGAGTGGAAAAAAGTTAGCATTCATCCTCCAGCTTCACTGTGTTTATGTTATGCTAACATAGTTGTGTCGCTAGTCATCACGTAGCACATCATTATATACCAGCTAGTCCAACTTCAGTAACCCTACAAACATGCCTGGATGTTAAGCTTAATTGTTACACCTGGTAAAGCAGCAACGCTGATCATTTGACTAAAGATGAAAGAATTTAGACGGTTTTCAACTCTCAGTGATGCCGCAGTGTTCGTTTGACTTTGGGACCTGAAGCGGATAGAGTTTTGGACCCAGATTACTCCGCGAGGCTCCTGACTACAGTAGCTGTAATGCTCCGACAATCCATCAAGTGGTGCGGTTTTGTAGCTTACCCAAGTCATACTAAAACATTTTTTTGACAGATTTTTGAGTGCCATGTACCACATAAAATCGGTTTGAGGTCAGTAAGCACAACCAGAATTCATACATAAGGCCCCCCGGATAGTAAGGTGGATCGTAAACACTTAAAGGATTTTAATTGTGCCTTATAGTGTGTAAAATACAGTAAATAATTTAGAAGGGCAACAATTTATAATTTTCTGGAAGTATAATTTCCAGAATGCTTCAGCTTTCATTTAAAAGAAAAATGAATATTTTGAAATTTAATTTGTATTCAAAACAAAATCGACCGTAACAGGCTGACCGGAAACAGTTCATGAGGGTACCAACTCAGTTTTAATAGAAGAGGATTTGGATCACTTCTATAATACAATCCAAAGCCACGAATGAAGGATATATTAGTCTCCATTGTTCTTTTTTGATTTTTAATGTTACTGAAGTTATGAAAGCTATGAAAAGAACTGTCAAAACAGTAACATTTAGACAGAAGACAGTGAACATTTCTGTGGTTATTAACAGAATTTTAATGTTTTAGATTGTGCAGGCTACTTACTTTTATATAAAGAGTGTGTGTTGATTTATAATACAGGGTGGGCCATTTATATGGATACACCGTAATAACATGGGAATGGTTGGTGATATTAAAGTCCTGTTTGTGGCACATTAGTATATGTGAGGGGGCAAACTCCTCAAGATGGGTGGTGACCATGGTGGATTTAGAAGTCTGGATCTAGTTGCTTGAAGACGTTTCACCTCTCATCCGAGAAGCTTCTTCAGTTCTAAGGTCAAATGGTGGGGAGTCCCAGATTTAAACCTAGTGGGAGTTCCCCCCACAGAGGGACAAAAGGACCCCCTGATGATCCTCTAATCGCCTGAGCCAAGGTGTGAAACTGGGTGTGGGTCCCAATCAGCCAGAGTTTCGGGTGAGCTCATTGTGAAACCTGGCCCCACCTTATCATGCGAATTCCTGAGGTCAGATGGCCCAGGATGTGAGTGGGCGTTAAGGCGTCTGGGAGGGAACTCAAAACTGGATTATAGATGGCAGAAGTTGGTGTCGTAAACCACCGCCTCTGTTCAAAGATGGTCGCTCACAGTGGACATAGATGGCTTCTTTCACTCCTCTTTCAAACCATCTGTCCTCTCTGTCCAAAATGTGAACATTGGCATCCTCGAAAGAGTGTCCTTTATCCTTAAGATGCAGATGGACTGCTGAGTCTTGTCCTGTGGAGGTGGCTCTTCTGTGTTGTGCCATGCGCTTGTGAAGTGGCTGTTTCACAAGCGCATGGAATACAGCATACACCACATTGTTAAGTCTGTCACAGACTTAACAATGTGGTGTATGCTGTAAAGTGCAGCGAGGAATGCCCAGACCTCTACATTGGGGAGACCAAACAGCCACAGTCTTCGAACTCCATATTCTACACAATTTCTAGATAAATCATTTACAACATATGTCAATGGACTACGGAGTCTACTAGAATGTTGATGATGGCATATGGTGGTCAATGAGAATGACTAACCAATGTGCAAGTAACACTGAAATTGAGTGATACTATCCTACTTTTAAAATCATACTATATGCATTTAAGAGAATCACTTATTGTGGAGTTATATGTATTCACAACAACTCATGTCCTTAAAATAACTATACATTTTTTTTGCAATATTGCTGTTAAGTAAGTTTTCACATCTAAGAGTATGAGCTAAGTTTTACCATCAATAGACATTTTATTTTTAGTTTACTAACGAGAACCCAAAACCATCTTGTTTATGCTGTCACCTCACACAGTAAAGATGCTCTCAAAGAGCTATTTTGACATTTGTCACGTACTGTGGTGACCACAGTACGTGACAAATGATAGTGTCATGAACATTGGGTTATATTAATTTTGTGCACCATGAACTCTTACTGTCATGTACCAGTAAGATTCTAATGATATTATGCCATCTATAAAAAAATAAATAAAACTGCAGAATTTGTATGATCTGAAGTATTTTTCAAATGTGCCGTGGGGATTGAACACATCAAAGTTCCATATTGTAGTTGGAAAAGTTGTGTTAATTTTCTTCTGCAATATCAAAACATAACATGAATATTTTTATTCCTCATTTTAAACATAAACAGAACATAAAGAATTAATGGTGAACAGAGGAAAGAAACAGTCACAAGTGTCAGTCTGAATTTCACAATCTATCTTATATATTACTATTACTGAGAACTTAAAGAATTAAAAGAGTAAGCTGAATGATCAAAATCTAGAACTGATCAAACATAAACGAATAAAGAAATTCAAGAAATTGAACATATAGGTTGCAGGGACATTTTTTATGCAATCACATGTGATTGAAATGGAACCCTGTTGGGCCCCAGTCACTACAGAGAACCACAGGAAGAGGAAATTCCTTCAAAAGAATATATCCTCATTTCAGTCTGATGCTCACACAGTCAGCAGCAAGACAACATGGAGGTCAGAATCTCCACCACCAGTGTCTGTGAGTACTAACCTTGTCTTTTGTAAAAAAAAAATACAAATTAAAAAATAAATACATGGATTAAGGGCAAATAACAATATCCAAAATACAGCTATGCATTTGCATGTATTCATTATGGATGTTTGTAACTGCTCACTAAAAATGCATAGGACTTATTGCTAATGATGGAAAAAAAACCCTGTTAAATATTAAAACTGTCATTCTCAATCTTTTCAGTGATGAATGTCCTGTTTCTGTTGGTTATAGTTGCTGAATTCAGTGATTTGCAAACATATAGTAAGTAAATATTCATGTTGTTGTATTTCTAAGTGTGTGTGTATGTTATAGATTTAATAAATCTCATAAAAATATGAATTTTCTGAAACTACTGCAGTTACTTTTTTTCAGCTAAAAATAGAACTACAACATAACATAAACCTTGTGAAAAAGCTACACGCATGCTATATATATATATATATAAATATAAAATGTCATATATAACTATTTGAAAGCAGTCGACCATTAGAGTGCTTAATGTGTATACATTTGTGGTTGTCTGAAAAACAGTTTGTTGAGACTATTTTGTTCTGTATTTGTTGAGTCTTTATTTGATTTTCTGTCTCAGATTCAGGTTTTCCTCAAGTTGTTCCAAACAGACAGCAGTTCTTTCAATCAGAGCCTATCACTATCAGCTGTGAAGGGCTAAATGGGCTGACTGGATGGAGAGTGATGAAAAAGATAAATGGAGATGTTAGAACATGTGCTTCAACCTGGGAAACATCGATTGGACCTTGCAATATTATTAATGCATATCCTTCAACTGACAGTGGAGAATACTGGTGTGAAATGGGAGGAATACAAAAAAGCAACTCTGTCAATGTCACTGTAACTGGTATGTCCATCAACAGTTTAAAAAAAACAAAAAAAAACGCTGTTCAGTTTCAGTACATCACTTAGATAGTGTCATATTTGGTACCTGCATGATGCTGACACGTAAAACTAGCGCGCACACACACACACACACACACACACACACACACACACACACACACACACACACACATACACACACCCATCCATCCATCCATCCTACTATTAAAAAAGTAATAAAATCCAGCTCAGAGAAGAGCTCGAGAGGATGTGGAGGGTGAAGGTAACGGTGGTCCCCGTGGTAATCGGAGCACTAGGTGCGGTGACTCCCAAGCTAGGCGAGTGGCTCCAGCAGATCCCGGGAATAACATCGGAGATCTCTGTCCAGAAGAGCGCAGTCCTGGGAACAGCTAAGATACTGCGCAGGACCCTCAAGCTCCCAGGCCTCTGGTAGAGGACCCGAGCTTGAAGGATAAACCGCCCGCAGGGGCGTGCTGGGTGTTGTTATATATATATATGCTGCATGTGCATTGTAATAAGCAGATGTCTGTTTAAAAACGATGTGAGCTGTCATGACTGTTGACTATGACTATTATGTAAAAGTCCGTTTTTACACAAAATAACTGCCATATTTTCTGTCATTTAGATTCAGAGAGTCATGTGATCCTGGAGATTCCTGTCTATCCTGTGATGCAGGGAGAAAATGTGACCTTGCATTGTAGAAAAAAGGATGCAAACTCCAGCTACACTGCAAAATTCTATAAAAATGGCGTCTTCATTGGGAGCTGCTCATCAGGAAACATAATGACTCCCACTGTATCCAAATCTGATGAAGGACTTTACAAATGTAGCATTGCTGATGCTGGAGAATCACCAGAGAGCTGGCTTAGTGTTGCAGGTAAGATGCATCAATATTTTCTAAATAAATTAGAGACAAACTTTGTACCCAAACTGCATTTTAGACCTTCATGATAAAGTGTGTTAATGAAAAGCAACATGTAGTCTATGATGAACATACATACTGTGCAAAGTGACGCCAGAGTGTTGCTTTTATGTGTCATCTTTGGACATTGTATTTTGGTCTAAGATCCCACAGGAAGTTTCTGCTTAATTAAACGTGTTACTATTAGCGTAGAATGACGACAGTACATATATGTTGGATATACTCCAGCAAACCAGATCTAGTGTTTATGGGTATTCGTGGTCTGAAGGGTCCAAACATCCATACGTGGAAATAATCGCAATATAAGTCAACCTCGTATAACACTATGATATTATGATATGGCTGACGTAAGACAATGCTTCTATAGAGTGTAGCTGAGACGATCCGTAGCTATGATGATGTCGATCCTCTATGTTCTCAGCAGAGGACTTAAACACAACACGCAAGGTGGATGTCAAATACAACTAATGCTCATCTCTAGAGAATCACTCATTAATGAAGGAGTCGTTAGACATGGATTCTTCAATTTAATTTTCATCATCATACAAATGACCTATGTGAAGCATAAGCTAAAAAATGCGTATTAGATGTAGTTTTGAGATAATAAACAAACTATCCAGATTAGTCGCGCACTAGCTTCTCATGAGATCGAGGCGCGCTGAAAAGGACATTGCACTACGTTATTTGTTCATAGAATCGCTTTTAACAAACAAATAGACCTTAATTATTCAGGGACGAAAGGCATATTAGTTATCACACCACGTTCCGATACACAAATTGTAGCTATTGTAATCTCTAGATATATACACATGAAGACACAATTGGAGCAAACAATTTCAATAATAAACCCTAGAAGAGATAGAGAAAAATTAGGATATCAAATGACACGTCATTAGCCCTGATAATCAGGAGACCTGTATCCTAATGCCCACCATAACTTGAAAAAGCGTGCCAGCTAAACCACACTTATATCGTGGCAATTAACAGGCAATATATAATGTAATTTAGAATAGATATTTATAATAATCTATTAATCTCCCTTAAAAATATTTACCCCTTTAGTGAGACAATTTTATCTAGACAACCTAATAACCCACAAATGCCATCTCGCGTAACATTATCCGACGAAGCCCGCACATCCTCTTTTCTAGCGCATACAAGCGATACCTACAGAAGTGCACCCTGATCCCTAGTGCGAGCTCTACCACCTGTGGAAAATCGTGCTCTAGCGCACACGCAATTCAACAATGCTTTTATTGGCTGGTCAGTGTCTCACCTCAGGGCAACTACTAGTGAGCAGGGCAGTGTTTCCCTTTTCGAACATAACGTAAACAATTCAAGCGAAGGTACAAGATCAAGGACATCGGCTACAGAAGAAGAGAGAATATCTGATTGACACCAAGTTAATGTCGACAAGGGACCCATACAGAACACAATCCCTAATTCTGTTAATACCCTTTTTAATTTTGACTCACACAAATATAAACAGAATTGACCCCACTGGCAGTAGACTATTTTCCTGTTTATTTTTGTCTTTTTCGAGCTAAAGCAGTAGCTGCACACAATGCGTGCCGCCCAACCTACACTCACCTCCAGAAGAACCTACCACTACTATCTACTGCACAAAATACACAGGCCCCGAGAGGTCCGAAGGCAAGAACATCTAGTTTGAGAGATAGAATAAAGTTGAAGAATAACTGTATAACTTCAAAATGTAATCCAGGATTATCTATCATCGTGAGCCGCAAAATTCACGTAATCAAATCAAGCCATGTCCTTTTATTAAACCTCCAGTCTAGTAAACCCCAGATGTGCCCTGATATGGCATTTTCGGTCTTCATCATCAGTATACTTTCCTCAGGTAGATCGTACGTCACCGGAAAGGCAGTTTGTGTTTGTCCACCGTCCAAAAAATTAATGTTTACCAAGGGCACAGAAAACATATATTCAACTGTAGTTATACTATATGAAACCCCTCCTAGTACACATGTCAATACCGTACCCATGAATCACATTAAAGACCTGAATGGATTGATACCTTGTGACCAAATTGATTGATGAATGATTTTAAGGGTTTTGTTATTGTCACAGCAGAAATATAGCTATAAAACCTTAATTCATGAATTACTCTTGTCTCATCCTTCGACTTCTATGAGAATCGAGATGCGAATGCAGCGGAGAACATGCCCTTATCTCGTAAACGCATGTGGGACAAATAATGTTGCGAATAAACATATGTGCTACACTATCTGCCCAGTCAAACTCAAATTTACGCCGAGCAAACTAATATATATACTATCCATCTCTGAAGACAAAAACCGACTTGCCAAGAACTAAAAACAAATAACAACTTAACGGAGAGCTTCAATTGAACCAAATAAACTATCTAGTCCTTATACGATCATGGAGAAAGAAGTAAGGAGGAAACTAGACAGATTTATCTCACTCATTTTAGAACAGTCTTCCCAATCACAGACCAAATTCGTCCTATTAGGAATTTGAGCCATTGGCACAAATGATTTTAGACGAACCAATCCAGCCCTTTATCTTGACACTACTTAAAAATCGCATGAGAGTGAATAGAATGATTCACATATATAGACAGGTGCAACTGCTCAATCATTTGTAACTAGATCATCATGAAATTGCGACTTGACCATGATGATCGACTCTAGTGTTTTGCTATTCCGATCCACCCTCCTATACTAGAAATCAAAAGAGCATGTAATTAGATGACTCAAAAACCCCACAAACTCTTTTATGCAGCTTACAGAAATGTTAGGAAAATTTGGTACGCTTTCTGGCTACAAAGTAAATATACTTAAAACTCAAGTTCTAATGTTTAATTGTATACCAACTCAAAATCTTAAGGAATGGGAAATAAAGTGGGAGGCAAAAACCCTTAAATATTTAGGTATAAATATAACCAAAAACTATGCCAAACTATATCAAAGTAACTATGGACATATAAATAACAGGATAAGGCAGGATATGGAAAGATGGAATACATATCCGTTAGGATTTAGTGACAGGATAAATGTGATAAAGATGAATATCTTAAATGAGTGACCAGAGTACCAGTTAGAAAATTGAGATAAGGCATAATCTTTATGATTATAAATGTGATAGCTATGTTACTCGTGTGAGCGCTGAGGCGAAAAGTGGCGAAAGATGCTTGCTGCAGCTTTCTCCCCTGCCCAAGCATATGAGCGAGCAAGAGCACTTCCACCATAGATACAAATGGCTTTCTTATGGTAGAAGCATAAATGCTACAAATGGGTCACTTTAGCCTACTGGTTGCGAGGCAGCATGATGACAACATAATAATTGATATACAGTCCCGATCAAAAGTTTATGACCACTTGAAAAATGCCAAAAAATCATGGTTGGATCTAAACTAGGTTCCAAGTAGAGCTTCAACATCCAACAAGAAGAAATGGGAGTGAGACATGTTTTGAGCCGGCACCTTCATTCATTCATAAGATAGTGCTGTTTTACAGCTGCACAGCCTCCCAATAACAGAGGGAGGGAGGAGGTACGGGGGCGCACCCTCATGTCACTGCGGATAAGATACAGTGGAGGCGTGCTTTTAGCCTCACGCTCAACAACAATCCCCCAATTAGCCCAGCCAAACCAAAACTGGGGATGGAACACAAACCCCCCGAACCACACCTCCCACGAGGAAACCGTCCGGAATAAGACCACCGACGGTTCGTAGAGAACAACACCCAATCAAAGTTCATAACATATGCCAACTCGAATACAATGATTAATAGCTGCACTTAGCCTATTCATATGAATCCTGATACAACTGTCAGATGAACCCGAGTTCGATGGCCAAAGATGTTGTGTCCGCTTAATACAGACGTGTGATGGCCCATACCCGCGTAGTTCACAAGCATCAAGGAGACTCTATGGAAAGAATGGGAACCTAGTTTCTCCAATGCTGTGATGAAAGAAGGAGCAGAGTTCAATCTACTGATGCATGGAACTGGGAATAGTTCCGAGCGAGCTCAAGTATGTATTGCTTAAAGTACAACAGTTCCAGAGTCACATGTATTTGCAAAAATCCCTTTGCCATTCATCCCCAAAGGTTCTCAGTTGAATTTAGATCAATGGAACATGCACGATAGTCCTAAAGAGTGATGTTATTATTGGAAGAAGTCCCTTGTCCTGCGGGCATTGTGTACTGTAGTGTTGGCGTGTTGAAAAACCCAGTTGTTACCACACAAACAAGGGCCCTCAGTTATTAGGGATGCTTTCTGCAACATCTCGATATAGCCACTGGCCATTTGATGCCCCTTTCACCTCCTGAAGCTCCATTGTGGCGCCCCCTCCACTGTGGTGCATAAAAAAAACAAAACAAAACATCTTAATTATAAATTTTAAAGGCATGTGGTCCTAACCTTTTGATCAGCTGTAAAACAGACTGTTTAATGGATTAGAGAGCAGCCCCGCTCCACATGCATGTGCATTAAAAAAAAAGCAAACAAAGACAAAAACATCACGCAGTACATCAATTATAAATTTACATCAAGAGAGTGAGGCCTAACAAGCGTCCTACTAACCCTCTTGCATCAGCAGTAGCCATAAAAAAGGCATGTGGTCCTAACCTTTTGATCAGCTGTAAAACAGACTGTTTAAGTTTAAGCGATGTTTATAAATTGGAAGCTCAAAAAATTTGTTAAGTTTGTTTATTTTAGTGAGATTCAATTAAAAAATCCGCCTTTTCAACC